CAGAGCCCAGAGCGGCCTGGAAAGGGGCTGGGGATGCAGCAGCACAGGGAGGGTGATCCTGTGGGTATTTATTGATCAGGAGACTCAAGGAATCTCTCAGCCTCTGTCCTGGGGTCCTTCAGCAGGGCAGTAGGAGGAATCAATAGACTCAGACACCCATGTGTATCCATGGCCGGATCATCTCCACAGGCAGTGTTTTCTTCTGACTAGTCAAAGACCCTCTCGAGGGAGAGCCGAAGGGACTCCACAGAGCAGGACCTCCAGCACCTCCCTGCCAGGAAGTAGATGAAGGGTTTGATGCTGCAGTTGATGCAGGTGAGCAGGAAAAAGAAATGGGAGGCCACAGCAATGTAACCAAGCTGCTGCAGGAAATTGCAGAGGATGAAAAGGAGAGTGAAGAGACCAATGGAGACGATAACGATGTCGAGCCCCTCGGTTTGCTTCTGCTCGGAGCCCCACTTGGCTTTAATTAAATTAATTGTGCTGGAAATGACCAGCACAGTTATGGGTGCGACAAGGAGCAGCAGGATGATGGCCCACACGGCGATAAGGGCTGCCTGGCAGTGCTCCTGATCATTTGATTGGCACTGGGATATAAGTGTGGGAATCTCAGCGAAGAGAGCAGAGAAAGCCCAAAACTGGACAATCATCACCACCCAAAGTAGATCATTAGGAAGGTCACGGCGGCAGCAGCGCTTCAAGAGCTTTTTGATATACATTGAAAGGCTGAAAGTCATCAGCAAAAGCGGCACCCAGTAACAGGAGAACAAAGAGAGTCGGAAAAGGAAACGCAGGTACAGTACGGGCAGGATAAGAGAGCAGTACATGTCCTCCACCAGGAGGATGAGGGCAGAGGGGACTGTGAGGAGAAGGAAGAGGAAGTCGGTGGCAGCCAATGCACGGATGAAAAAGTTATCACCCTTCAGGCTGAGGAGGCGAATGACAGCCCCATTCCCAACCAGCCCACAGAGGCAGACGAGCAGGGTCACACTGTGGGTGGCCATGCTGGTGACATCTGTCCCACACAGATCATCTCCTTCAGTGGGTGAGGCAGGAGATGGGGACATGGTGGTCACCTCCATGGATGGACAGTGGGCAGGCAGTGGGATGTGGCCCCTGGCTGTGGTCAGAGTGGATGGGCAGTGAGTGCTTGGAGAACCCAGGGATGGACCATGTGGCTCCTCAGCAGCTCCCTGCAGTGGGAAGGATTCAGTGGTGAGGAGTGAAGGTGAGGAGGGCAGTGGAAATTGTGGACTGGGAGAGGGAGGCAGTAAGGTTGGGCTGTTCAGCAGGGGATGCGGAAGCAAAGCACAGGGCAGAGGAGGGAGGAGCTGCGGAGGGCCCTGCGGTCACCAGGAGAGGGTGGCAGGAACACAGCAGCTGCTGCAGGAGAGGAAGGTGGGGTAGGGAGGAAGGCAAACATTCCACTGACCTGTTCCCTGTGGGGCAGCAGCAGGCAAAGGGCTCTGTGCAGATCAGCGGCGCTTCCTGGTCCCTCTTGCTCCTTTGGGATCCATGTCCTAAAGCGGCTCCTGCCAGGTCAGGGACATGAAGGAGAAAGTGCCCAGATCACCAGGAGCTCCTCATTCCCATCCTGCTGGCTCCTCTCTATTCCCTGTCCTGCTATTGCTCCCCAAGCCTTGGTGGAATCACACGGAATTGAGGAAGTCAAAAATTGCAACTTTGCCTACTTCAGAAATTCAGTTCCTCTGAGTTATTTATCTCAGTTGTGGTTTTTTGTTTCTTTTTTTTTTTTTTCTTCCGAGGAAGTGGGTTTTCTCAGAAGCTGTCTATGAATATTTTTTGTGATTGGCTCCTCTTTCACTTCTGATGAGAAACACTTCTTCCCTGCAGAGTGTTGCAGTCTCCAACTACCTTCCCTCTCTAGGCAGGTTTCTACTATTCCTCAGTACTTCCTTGAGGAGTCATTGTCCCTCCAGCAGCAGAGGGATGCTGGTGGCACTGGAATGCTGCTGCCAGTACTGGCAGTGTGGGTGAGGCAGCTGGGTGCTTCTCAGACACATCTCCTGTTCCAGAAAGGGCTCTGAGATCATTGCAAAAACATGCTCTGCTCCTAAGGAAGCACAGCTCAGCTGCTTCCTCCTCCTATCCTGATCCCATCCTCATGCCTCCTCCCCATCCCCATCCCCAACCCGCTCCATCCTCATCCCATCCTATCACAGGTTTCCCAGACGGAGCTGTTCCCCCACTCTGAGCGTGGCCTGTCAGGCTCTGCTCTCCTCCAGTGGGGAGATTTGGGATTGTCGGCATCCAGACCCCCTCCAACCCCCTCTGAGCCTCTCCTGACCCCTCCAACACCGCCTGCAACACCCCACACCATCCCTGGGGCCTCCTTTTCCACCCAACAGCCCTGATCCTGCCCTGCTCCAATAGGGACCCCTGGCAGTGTCCCTGCTCCTCCTGGCCATAGGGTTCTAGGACCCAGGAGAGAGGAAAAAAGTCCAGATTCAATGTGCTCTGCAGGATCACACCGGATGATAAATGTGGCTGGAGCCAGTGCAGAAACAGATTTGGAGGCCTGCAGGGGTTTTGGGGCAAGTTCTGTAACAAGCAGCAAGAGCACATAACGAAAGGAAAAGTTCAAAGCAAAGTCACCTTTAATATCAGAGCACTCAGTGAATGCGACCACGACAGACCCCTCTGAATGATCCTCCAGGACCAGGAGAGGACTTGGAGAAGGAGATGGATGCCTGGGAATGGGTATTAGGAAAGTGATGTTTATGTAATAGATAAGAAACATGCTTTAATGGCTGTCTGTGGTTATGATAGATCAATCCCCTGTTGTAAAGTACTCAAGTCATACCCCAAACAGAAATATGGAGAGATCCATCTGTGTGTCCTTTGGAGGGAAAGAATTCCTACTTCCTAATGTTTCCCATTCTGTTGGAAAGTTTATTCTGGCTGATTTTGGTATCA